ACATCTGTGCCCATCTTCCTCCACTTTATATGGGACGCCGCCACAGCATGGCTTGCCAAGCAGTGCGTCGGTGCGCGCCCGGGATCCGAACCAGCGAACCCCGGGCCGCCGCAGCGGAGTGCGCGCACTCAACCGCTTGCGCCACCGGGCCGGCCCAGAATCCATGATTTTTTCACCATACTACACTGTCTTCCCAAAGGGCCGGTGCAAAGGCAGGGTTCCCAGAGCCCCACTTCCCTGGAAAGATTTACTTGAGTTTCTGTTTTTTTTTTAACATTTGTAAAGTGAAAAATTATACAGTATAGGGAGATGAAGTATGCACATTATTTATATATGACTACAAATTTATCCAAAAGTAAATATAGTTGAGAATTAATTTTAAAGCAGGTTTTTTTGCATTTAAAAAGAAATTGAAATAAAAAATGAGATAAACTTTTATTTAAAAATTATTAAATATATAGTAAATATGCCCCAATCTAAAAAAGTACAAAAATTATATTAAAGATGTTCATGTGCCAACCACCCTGATATATCATGTTATGTTTTACATTACTGTTTACATTAGGTCTTTCTTTCAATCCATAAACAAACAGAGTATCATTAAAATATAAAATTTTAGGGGTTTTTTTTTTGGTTTTGTATTATGTTATCTTTTTACTTTTCATCACCTGTATCAATGCATACACTTTTGTAACTTGCCATTTCATTCAACATCATATTTAAAAAATTCATTCATATCGATATGTGTAGATTTTAAATAATTATATTTGATGTAGAATATTACAATGTAAATATGTGATGATTTTTTCATTTTTTAAAATATTATATGATTTTAAAAAATGCAGTGAGCATCCTACTACATTTTTGTGTTGCAGGGTGTGTATATGCAATTTCCCCTTTACTTGATATTGGAAAATTTACCTTCCCCTTAGGAATATTTAAGAATCAGTGTGTGAAAAGAGCCTCAAGAATTGTTGTAATATTCTAGGTATGATTGGCATCTGTTGCTTTCAGCTTTAATGCCCCAGTCGACTTGGAGATAGGAAAAGTTCAATTTTAACCTCCTGTTCACAGTATTAAATAACCCACTATATAAAAAAATCAAAAGAGAAATTTTAAATTCTTAGAACTGAAAATACACTCTATCGGAATTTGCGGGACTCTGCTGAAGTGGATTTCACAGAACAATTTATGACTCTGAATTCATTTATCAAGGGAAAAAGTGATTGCATACAAATAAAGAATTCAATGTGATAAAGTGGAAAAAGAATCCCAGAGTAGAGAACAAAGAAACAAGAAAGAAGAAAAATAATAAAGACAGAAATCAATGACAAGGAGAATAAAACAAAATGGATGATTAACCAAGAATAAAATTTTAAAAAATGATTCTTTACAAAGGTAAATAAGAGAGACAAAGTTCTGAGAAGACTGATTTAAAAAATAAATAAAGGGCTGGCCAGGTGGCGCAGCGGTCAAGTGCGCGTGCTCCGCTTCCGCAGCCCAGGGTTTGCAGGTTTGGATCCTGGCACGCACCAACGCACCGCTTGTCAAACCATGCTGTGGCGGCGTCCCATATAAAGTAGAGGAAGATGGGCACGGATGTTAGCTCCGGGCTAGTCTTCCTCATAAATAAATAAATGAATGGATGAATGAATTAATAAATATGAGACAGTGGAAAGATTGCAACTACAATGCTTTCCCTAGCTCCTTCTTCCTCCCTGGCACCCAGTGTGCACCTGCTTGGGTCGACCTTCTCCTCTCCAAATCTAAGTGACCAGCTCCCCTTGGGTCTTTGCAGGGTTTTCTCATAGTTTTAACTTTAGTTTCTAAGATCCATCAACCTCCCTCCACACAGGGAGAGTGACCTGGAATAAACAGAATAACTTAGATTTCCATTATTACTGGAACTGGTTGCATTTATAATTCCATTTAGAAACATTATAAGTTTTTTAGAAAGATATATATAGGGGCCGGCCCCATGGCTTGGCGGTTGAGTGCATGCGCTCCACTGCTGGCGGCCCGGGTTCGGATCCCGGGCGCACACTGACGCACCGCTTCTCCGGCTGTGCTGTGGCCGCGTCCCACACACAGCAACTAAAAGGATGTGCAACTATGACATACAACCATCTACTGGGGCTTTGGGGAGAAAAAAGGGAAAAAAAGGAGGAGGATTGGCAATAGATGCTAGCTCAGGGCCGGTCTTCCTCAGCAAAAAGAGGAGGATTGGCATGGATGTTAGCTCAGGGCTGATCTTCCTCACAAAAAAAAGAAAGATATATATATATATATTCCGCTTATACACAGGCCCTCTAGGAGAGACTATAATGCCGAAGAAGGATGTA